GGGTTCCCAGGACAGCCACCACCACCAGGGACGCCACCCCAAACGGGGAGGAGGCGATAGGGACAGGCAGGGGGGGCACCGGCAGCGCAATGGTAACTTCCATCCCCGCAAGGGCACCTCGTACCCGGACAAATTCCCCAACGAGGAACGCAAGGACAGCAAGGACGACAAGCTGAAGTTTGTGGAGGAGGACTTTGTGAGTAGTTGACCTCCGTTTTTCCTGTTACATTACAGTGGGATAACTACTGGAACCATTTTCTCCTTTTCAATATTTGCCTTGTAATAGAAGCAGAAGAGGATTTATGAGTGTTATGCCTCAGATTATTGCCTTTAAACATAACTTGTAATTACAAAATTTGAAAGATTACATATTTAATGTAGGCACCTGTTTATTTGTATTTTTAGCCTTCGCTCAACCCTGAAACAACTGGAAAGCCTGGGGCTCAGACACGAGCAGTTGCTCCCCACGCTGGAGTATGGGGTAAGCTTTTCGCCCTGATTCAATTTCTGTGCTCAAAAAGACAAAAGATTTTTTCCCTTGCACCATCATCTCTAAGATTTAATTTGATTGTCTTGATTATGTTCCAGAAAATCCACCGAGTGGCAAACAGATGGTGTCCAAAATGCTGGTTATCAAAAAAATTTCCAAGGAGGATCCCAGCACAGCCTTCTCTGCAGGGTTTGCCACTGCTGGTGCCCTGCCAACCAACGGCAGCAAAGCTCCCATCACAGGCTCCAGCGTCTACAAGAACCTGGTCCCAAAGCCGGCTGTGGCCCCTACCAAAGTATGACTGTCGAGATGTTTTGAGTTAATCAACGGCTTGCTTGATTCAATTTCCGAGAGAAGAATTGCTTATCAAGCAAATGTACATAATAGAGATAACACCGGTGCACTGGCCAGCGTGCATGGTAGCCTGCAGTAAAAGAGTTTTTAAACACTCTCATGTCCTCTTTTCCAGAGCACCCAGTGGAAATCCAGTGGTAGAGAGATCACAAAGTCTGGTCTTCACATGCCAGGCCGAGATTCAGTCTTCACCAGCCCCGTCTCTGCAGCCAAACCCAGCACCCCAGTCAGTGCACCACAGCACAATACTACAAAAGAGGTGAGAAGAAGGATGAAGCAACCCCAATGAAAAGCAAGCAATTTTGTGAAGGTCTTGCTTTGCTGTTACTACAGATGTGTCATTGTTGCCATGCTTTGAAATCAGTTGAACAGATAGTTTAGATCTCTTGCACTGATGTCTCAGGTAACAAAAAGAATAATAGTAACTTTTATTTCTCCTTTTCTGTCACTTCATGACTATTTGCGGCTCACACCTGCAGCACCCTTCAAGCACGACTCCTCCCATAGATATTGCTCCGTCACGGCTCAAGTTGATGCGTCGCGGTCCAGACCGTAAGAGCGAGTTCCTGAGAGCTCTGAAGGACGAAGGCACTGGAGAGCTGACAACAAGCAGCAGCCCAGGAACATCAGGAGAGGTAGGCAGCAGTTTGGATATTTAGTTTTCCCCCCCCAAAGTATTAAAAGGGACCCATTAAGCTAAACACAGGGCCAGAGCAAAATTCATCACACTGCTTCTTCTTTTTACGTCTCTTCTGTGCTTGTGTCAAGCTGCATGAAATTCCGTATATGGTCATGGTTCCTTATACGAGGAAGTGTGCCTCACAGCTCGTGGGTTGTTTATAGAAGCCAGGCAATGGGCAGCCAATCACATGAAGGGATTATTAGGGAAGGGGACCTGCACAGGTCCTAACTGTAGATCATTTAAAACCTCAATCAAAATGTAGAGCTAGAGACTAGCATAATAGATACACTTTAAGAGAATGTGCTGCTGAATGTGGAACACGATCATGGCCTCTGCATTCTCTGCACGTAGAAGTCATGTGTGAAATGTAATGTTATGGTCCTGGATAAGAGCTTTTTGTCAACACATAAAGGACAGCTGGGGCTAAACTTGAAAATAATTCTTGCAGGGTGAAAGCAGCACCCCAGAGCCCAAAGCCTACAGCGAGGAAGGCTGTCATGAGAATGGTCTGTCTTACTCTCTGAGTGACTCAGACACCGAACACCTGTCCAGCTCCCTGGAGGCAGAGCACAGGTAGGACACTGCTAACAGCCTTATATATACACACAGGCCAAAACACACAGACAGCTAAGCAGAAAATTACTATGCTTATCTAGGTTGCTGAAGGCCATGGGTTGGCAGGAGTACCCAGAAAATGATGACAACTTCCTGCCTCTGACAGAGGACGAGCTGAGAGAGTTCCAGACTAAAACTGAACAGGTGAGCTCTCAAAGGAAACGCTGACTCTGCTTACGTCTAGCTCAACTCAGTCTGTCTCACACATTAAACGACATGATTGTGTTTTGACCAGCTGAAGAGGAACGGCATTCAAAGGAATGGGGTTCTCCCGAGGACACGGGGTGTGACCCTCCACTTCACCCCCTGGAGGAGTGTGGCGGAGGCACACGTCGAGGAGGGCTCCGAGTCCGAAACCAGTAGCAGCAGCCAGACCTCTGATGACGACGACTGCATCAAATCCTAATGTGGCTTTATGGAACAAAAAGAAGAAGAAGAAAAAATACCAACAACACAACAACAGCCAACACCACATCCCAGCAAGCAATTCCCCTTTTCCTCTGTCATCTTTGTTTTTTAGAGCACCATTCTGAAGATCTTTCTTTTTTGATTTTGTTTTTTTGTTTTGTTGTTCTTGCACAAGGGAAAAACCAATCATATCCCAGTGAAGGGGGAGATTCCTGCTCTGCCAGACGTCGTTTTCCCTGCGTTTCCTCCTTCACTGCAGTCCCTGCCCTCTTTTGACCGATTTTCCACACACACACACCCACAAACCCTCCGTCTCCTCCCCTTCCTTTTTCTTCCTCGCTTTGTGGAACTGAAGTGTTCATCAAGAAAAGAAGGGCAATGAATGCACACTTGATTCTGCTTTAAACAGACTAACTCATTTCATTGATGATGCTGATGACACATTATTAATGATATTAATAAAAATTGGTTCCTGACAAGCTGATATGTTTCAATATGAATCTGGCTACTGTGGTGTTTTTAAGTCCACACATCATGTGACTATTTGTAGATGGAGTCCAAATGATGCCAGTATTTCCTGTAGGACGATTGTTGTTTCTTGAAGGACAGAGTAGCAGAAAAACAGCTGTAGATCAGTAAATGCAACACTGAAACATTTTTGTTATAGAAAAGTTCCAGTTTCCCACATATGTAATGCTTTGAGAGGCTGTGCTTTAATTTTGGGATGAAATGTGTAAGCAGACTTGTTTTTGTGACCCACATTGTGAGCAGCAGGTCTGTGGCTACATCTGAAACAAAAACATTAATAACCTTGCAGCAGATGTAAATTCAGTGTGAGAGGGAGCGAGATTCCTGCACGTCCTGTGGGCTGGGCTTATGTTCATGTCGGGAGATTCACAGACTTGTGGCTGAGATCCGGTGAGTCGTGGAAAAAAAAAGTTGTTCTCACAGGAAGTAAGAAGTGGTGGGATAATGCAGTATTTAAATTTAAAGTATTGTTTTTTCAGCCCACATAGATGGGATTAGAATAGAGAGCGGGGGAAGCTGCAGGAGGAGGGATGTTTATTTTTCTAGATTTCTCTCTTCTGCAGCTTTAATCATCATGATTTCCAAAACGTTGCTGATAATATGCTGAGATTTTGTTGGCCTTCAGAACTAATGTCTTTGACATGACGTGTC